CTCAAACATTTTGCTGTTTCTAGTTTGAGCTCAGTATATTTTAATTTTCATCTCTGTAGAGTTTCTCTACCATTTGCGTGAGTTGAGTCCAGTGAGAGGTGAAGCAAAGAGTGTTCATTGCTTACAGACAGGCAGTAAGAACAACCAGAAGGCTAGGATTGTGGTGAGCGGGAACTCCCAAGGCTTTGGAAAACTTCGTAGGGAGAAGCAGGTTTCTCATGTCACATCGCAGCTGAGGGCTCTGAAAGCACTTACCCTAGGTGTTTTGTTTTTGTGTTTGTTTTTACCATGGGCACATCTTGACTTACTGAACTCAAGCATTGCAGACTTATCTGTCCCAGGTAGGATGAAGTTGTAGCCTGGGCTGTTCCCAACTTTTCCTCTTTATCTCAGGACACCACATTTTCAGCACATTCTACAGTTAGTCTGAGAACTACAGGTGGGAGGGAGGAGAGCTGGGTTGACCAAGGCCCTCCTGGAACCTACCCCCCATAATCGTATTTCAGTAGAGTTTAGGTATCTTTTTGTGTGTTTTAGAAAATTTGTATCTCATTTTCTGAGACCTTACTGCTCCTACACAGAACTACTTTTCTGTTAAGATACTGGATTTTTGGGCTGGAGAAGTGGCTTAAGTGTAGAGCGCCTGCCTACCAGCTTGAGGCCCTGAGTTCAAACCCCAGTACCACCAAAAGAAACAAACAACAGCAAAAAAAAGTTGAACTTTTAAAATTATATGAATACTTTATATATCAAGAAACTTAGTTCTTTATGCAATACAATTTACAAATATTTTTCCCACTTGAGGTTTAACTTTTGAACTTATTTATGATGAAATTCATTTTTACCAAATAGAATTATTATAGAGAAAGTATCAACATTGTTTTCATTGGTTTTGAAGTTTGTGCCATATTTAGATATGCCTTCTCCAAATGTTATTACTATTTTTAATTACATAACATTTTCTTCTATGAATTTTTTTATGCTTTAAATATGTGACCCATTTTCTTCTGAACATTTTATATGTTAGTATAAAAATTAGTCTTCTGCCTAAAGACTGCAAAAAACATATAAACAACTATTTTCAGGCATTAGAAAACAACCAATGTGGGACTATGATATTTGTAAATAGGAAATAAATCCATGGGAACCCCACATTTGTCCTGGTCTTTTCCCCAAAAGTGTTCCCTCAAAGCAGGCTGCTTCTCAGCAGCCAGAGAAGCAGAATCCAAGTAAAGAACATGTACTTTACTGGGTAAAGAAAATATCAATGTCTGTTGATGCTTGGGTATCTGGTATTTAGGATTGAGATCTCAAAGAGGAAGGAACTCCAAAATCTATGTAAAAATTCTCTGTGGGTCCTCCACTAGCTATAAGGTGCACTTCTCAAGGCAAGATTATGGCTTTGTTCAGAGACTAAAGAACTGCACAGAGATGCACAGCACTGAGAAGATAGAGTTGCCGTTTGAGCCAAAATGAGATTTTGGCTAACGTTCTGGGAATTCTTTTGAAGTCCCAGAATGGCCATGCCTTAAGAATAAGAACTATTCCCTAAAAGTAAGGAGCATCACAGGAATAAGGAAAATACTAATGTAGAGTTATCTAATACTAAAACCAAGCCTCAACAGGATTGATGTTATCTGCCAGTAACAACTGCCAGACAAAACTCACCATTTTAAAAGAAATCCAATATGATGGTTAATTGTGTGAGTCAACTTGTCTAGGCTATGGTACCCAGTTGCTTAGGCAAACCCATCTAGGTGTTGCTGTGAAAACATGTTTCAGATGTGATTATTATTTAAACCAGTAGACTTTGAGTAAAGCAGATTATCCTTCATAATGTGAGTCAACCTCATCTATTCAGTTGAGAATCTGAGGCCTCTGGAAGAGAAAGGAAATTGCCTTCAGACTCCCTCCTTCAGGCTCAAGATGACAACATCAGTACTGCTTGAGTTTGCAGCTACCAGCCTGCCCTATAGATTTCACTGGTCCCCAAAATCATAGGAGCCATCTCTGCCATCTCTCTCTCTCTCTCTCTCTCTCTCTCTCTCTCTCTCTCTCTCTCTCTCTCTCTCTCCCTGTCCCTCTACCTCTTTGTGTGTGTACACATTATATACATCCATTAGTTAATGTTTTTCTGGAGAATCCTGAATAATACATATTTTTATTCCAGCAGTGGGATTTAAGCCCACAAATAGTATTGGCTTTCTGGAATATATAGTGACAAAGCAGCTTGCATCGTACCTGGACCTGTCCTATCTTCTCTAAGCCCCTCTGAAAAGTAACATCCAGTAGGTCATCCAATAAGTGAGCTGCAACAGAACATATTGCTAAGATGAGTAAGGGAGTTTTACAGACATTCATACAAAGTGAGATGATTTTGCATATGCAGGGTAATTTGATGCAGAAAACAATGGGATTCAAACTTTCTTTGACATTGAATAGGCCCAGGAAATAGTTAAGGAGTTTGGGACAAAGACAGATACACTAGATGTGTGGGTAGAAGAGCCAAAATAGGATCCTTAAATATATTATCTTCCTTGTTGCTTCTTGCGTTATACTTTTCTCCAGCTTATTGGAATATATAAGTCTTCTTGGAAAAGCTATAGATCTTCCAGATATAAACCAGAAGCTAGTGTTGTGATGTTTCTCTGATATATGAAAATAATGAAAATGAAAGGAGTTGTGGGTGGTTCAGTTGCTCTGGCTATATGAATTAGGAAAATAATATTCATTTGATGTGCTCTAATGAGTCTAGATGGAAAATTTTGAGGAATCTGCCCTCAAATTGTAACTGCTAGATTGTCATTCCAGGAGCCTGGATTACTTCCTTGATGAACAAGATGTTCGCAGATATGGGCTAGTGTAAGTAAACAGAGTTTCCACCATCACAAGAACTGTGTTATTCTGGGAGACTATGCATCTATTACATTTGCATAGTGGCCTTCTAATGTACTTGGGGTTGGAAACAGGTATAGCTTTTGTTAGGCCACCCAAGCCACATGTCCTTATCTAGAGCTTGGACACATGTCCTAAAAGTGGCAAAGTATTGAAGGGATGGCCAGATTGAAGGCTAAGAAAAGTTCCAGTGAACTTTGTTCAGAGTCTTGACTTGCTCTCAGTGAACCACTGGGCTATTTCTTAGAAAAAAATGCCCAAAGAGAAAGCATTTTATCTGTTTCTTCAGGCATCACCAAGGCAGCTGTGAACTTTCAGTGAATTTGGCTGATTACAGTTTTGGTAGTTGCCTCCTAATCCACCCAACAATTCTAATGGTAGTTGGGAGTTGTATTGCTGATTCAGACTTGAGTTGATTTAAATTCAATTTCTTAGAAACTCTGAAATAGAGTTGACATAGGAAGAGTATTAGCTTGGCATAGTAATGATTATAAAAATCAATTTTGAAAAAGAGAACTCATTATATTCTAGCATAGTATATATTTATTTGTTTGTTTTGTTTTGCCTTTCCAGAGTTTTTCCAAACTACCGTTATCAGACATTTTGATCACAGGGTGATTCACCTATGTTCCAGGCCTCAAAAGCAGCCCTTATAGTGAGTAGCTTTTTGCATGCATACAAAGGCAAAGGTCTCCCATCTTCTAGTCTTAGGAGAGGATAAGCTTTGCTTTCATGTTGGCAGTATCTGTTTCAGTGATAAAGCATTAGAATAGGAAACATAGACTGTAGGTGAAGATAACTAGATCAAATTCTTCAGTTTCTGGCTCACTGGTGTTCTGGATGAGTTCTAAACAAAATGCATTTCCTCCTTGAAATATTTTAATAGTAGGATAGTGAAATTAGAGAAGTTATATAAGATCTGCCAGTAACCACAAACCTCTGGATGTCCTTGATATACTACAATGTTTGCAATATACACGTATCAGATCCCTTACTGGTTATCACCAAAACCTTTTTGATTAAATAAGATATGGTTCATATATTTAAAATTCAGATTTGTGACTATTTCTTAGGTTTGGCCATTCTTTGAGGTGGCCTATGGTGGCCAAACAAGGGACTTAGATGTCTATAATGTTTTTTCTATTACTTCTACCTGCCTGCTAAATAGACAGGTAATCCTGTTTAAATGATCAAGATTAACGACCCTCCACCAATCAGAAGTATCTTTTCCCTACATATCACCTCTCTCTTTCCTATGCTAGCTTCTTTGTATAAACTTCCCAATTCATATCTACTTGGGTCCCCTGTTCCTTCTTTAGCTCTAAGCAATTTCTCACTTCTCTCTTCAGTTCTCTACAGTAAACTAAATCAAATTTATAAAATCTCACTGGAATTTTCTTATTTGTATATAATTTGCTAATTATATTAAATGTCTATGTATTTTTCACATAGACTCCAAAGTAATCCATAAAGTTGGGTTTTGGAGACAATAGGCATTTCAGGATTTTGTAAACTCTTCAGGTAATTAATATATCACTTTAGGGAACATTTCATTTTTGTCAACCAGAAAGCAATTAATTATAAAACATTCTATGACATCTTTTTTTTTTTTTTTGGTGGGACTTGGGTTTGAACTTAGGCTTTGTACTTTGCAAAGCAGCTTCTCTACTACTTGAGCTACACCTCTAATATGACATCCAATTCAAAAGGAACCTTTTGCTAAAAATTAAAATAAAAGAAACTGTAAAATCTACTCATATTTAATTTACAGTACTCTGTTTCAAGGACATAGGAACCACTTTCAGATGAGACTGATTCTGGAGTGTGAAAAGAAAGATTAAATCTCAAATTTAACTACTTCCTTGAGTTCATTTTCTTGGCAAACTCTGTTTTTTTGCTGTTGTTGCTGTGTTTGTTGTCTTTGCTGGCACTGGGACTTGAACTCAGGGTCTCCCATTTGCTAGCCAGGCACTCTCATGCTTGAGCCACTGTACCAGCAAGTCCATTTTCTTAATTAAATCACCTTCTTATACTAAACTTGAAATCTCCTTATTTAAATAACATGTAAAAATTGAGTCTTTTCTTATTTTCTCCTTTTTTTGTAGAGGAACTGTAACAAGAAGGCCTTATGAACCAGGAATGTTTTGTTCTCAATGTGGCCCTCGTGACAGATGCACAGATCTTCTATGCAGTAAGACAAAGAAAATAACTGAAAAGTGAAAAGAAAAGAACCCATAATTCATAAGACAAAAGTGAAGGGACTGAACGCTAGTTTTTACTGTGATACTAATGTTATTATTATATTATCAAAGAAGGATTTAGACAGTATCATTTTTACAGTTTTCTAAACTGCACAGTCTCTTCTGCTCCCTCTTATGTTCCTTCCCCTAAGAACATTCGAGAATGTGAGCTGTCAGTTATACCCTAGAAAAAACTTCACAGTTTGACAATAACTGCTTTAAAGAAAAGGATATTCCAAAGTATTTGCAAAGAAAAACAAAAACAAAGGAACACATGTTTAATAGCTTGTTTCCTCATTGTTTCCCTTGAGAAAACTGAAATCTCTCAAATATTCAGAGAACAAAATGTAGAAAATATGTTCAACTGAATTTTTCTTTTAATTTTTCCAAACATAAGAGCATACAGTCCAAAGCTATATCTGTAACTAGAATATACAATGTATAGAAGAATGTGATTGGGAATAAATTCAGAGCACATTATGCTTTTGTGTTTAAAAAAAAAAAGAAAGACACCACTAGTGGACAGTTTCAGTTTCACAATACTACTGCCTTTGCTTCACTTGAATCAAGATGTAAAATCTTGCTCTTCCTCTCCCCCTTTTCTTCTTTTTAAACAAAAGTTCAATCCTAGAGTCATTAAGAAGGTGTATTGATATCATAGACGTTAAACAGGATGACAAGGAGTTCACACAAGAGAGCATAGAAAGGGAAAGAATGGTGTCCACATGGAGTTGTGGCCCAGTATGGGGGGTCAAAGCCTTCCCAGAGAGAAGTGAGTATCCATATGAGGTCAGGCTTGCTTGGGATGTTAAACCCGGAGTGGGGTGAAGGGATGTCCATGCAAAGGTGGCTCATCACGTAGTATTCGGTGCCCACACAAGGTAAGGAAATGATCAACTTAAAGTGGAATGGAAAAGCTTAGAATAGGGTGTCAAAGTCTGAGCAGGCAAGTAAGGCATCAATAGTTGCTGAAGCTAAGTAGAATGAGGAGAAGATTCACCTACAGGGGTGACCTGATAGAACCTAAGCAGGAAAGGGGGCATCCATGCTTGGGGGCAACCTCACATAAGTTGTCAGAATCCAAACTAGGTAAGGAAGTCTTTAATGAAGGGAAAGTGATCTAGTGTGGGTAAGGTATTTCACTTTGATCACTTGGGTTATTTTTTAAGTTCTTTCATCAATGTTTTATAGCTTCCAGAACATGTTTTGTTAACATGATCCCCTACCTATTTCTTTCTTTTGTTTTTGTTTTCTTTATTTTTGCCTTTTTGGTTCATTTTTTGAGACAGAGGCTCACTATGTAGTCCAAGCTAGCCTATAACTCTCTGTGTAGCCCAAACTATACTCGAACTTGAATAACCTGCCTCATTCTCCTAGGTGCTGGGATTGCAGGTGTTACGGTTTATTTTAAGTGGCATTTTTAAGGTGTTTTTGTTACTGATTTCTAGCTTGATTCCACTGTGCCCAGAGAACATAGTGTATGTGAATCACAGGGGTTTTTTTATTTTTTATTTATTTATTCTTTTTTTGCTTTGAAATTTCTTTTGTCTGTACTAACATAGCTGCTCTAGCTTTCAGGTCATTTATGCTTAATTTTGAACTATCTGTATTATTTTATCTCCAATAAGTTTCTTATAGACAACATGCAGTTATGTCATAATCCAATCTGATAATCTCTGTTTTAATTGGTGTATTCAGACCACCTACAGTTAATAAAGTGATTCATATATTTGGGCTTTGTTCTACCATTTTGTTATTTGTTTGTCATTTATTTCCTTCTGATTTTTTCCACCTTCTTTTGGGTTACTTAAACATTTTTCCATATACCATTCAAACATCTTTTAGATTTTGACATATTTCTGTATAAAATTTTAGTAGTTGCCTAGGGATAACAACATGCATATTTAATTTTTCAGTCTGTTTAAAAATAATAGCTAACCACTTCAATTTGAATATACAAACTTTGCTACCATAGAGATCCCCTTACTCTCCCCATACAGCCCACTGTTGTCTAGACAGTGTATCTACATGGAAAAATGCCATCAGTTATGTACTTTTTTAACACTTAAGTGTATTTCAAAGAATTCAAATGGAAAAAAATAGCATATTGTATTTATACAGATAGTCTATTCTGTTTACCTCTTTGTGAATCTTCCTTCACTCCTGATATTCCAAGCTTATTTTCTGATATTCAAATTCTATATGAAGAATTTACTTTAGCAATTCTTTTATAATAAGTCTGCTAGCTATAAATTCCCTTAGTTCATCATTTCAAAATGTCTTTATTTCTTCCTTTTCATTGCCCTTTTTTTGGTTTTTTTTGGGTTTTGTTGTTTTTGCGGCACTGGGGCTTGAACTCAGGGCCTTCACCTTGAGCCACTCTACCAGTCCTATTTTTGTGAAGATTTTTCAAGATAGGGTCTTACAAACTATTTGCCCAGGATAGCTTCAAACTGTGATCCTCCTGATCTCTGCCTCCTGAGTAGCTAGAATTATAGACATGAGCCACTGGCACCACCCTGAATGCTATTTTTGGTGGATATAGAATTTTTTCCTTGAGAGTTCTATTCATTTTAGTACTTCAAAAATATCATGCTAGCAGGGCACCCAAGGCTCACTCCTGTAATCCTAGTTACTTGGGAGGCAGAGGCCAGGAGGATTGCAGTTTGAAGCCAGCCCAAGGAAAATAGTTCCAGAGACCCTGTCTCAAATTACCCAACACAAAACAGAGCTGACAGAGTGACTCAAGTGGTAGAGCACCTACAGCCTGATTTCAAACTCCACTACCACCAAAAAAAAAAGAAAAAAGAAAAAAAAACTTAAAAAGATGACCTCACCAAAAAAATGAATGGAAAACTTCAGTGAAAAATATTTATAAGCATTTAACCTTAATTGGTAGACTAAAAGCAAATCTATGATTAAGGTTACAAAGCAAAATGTAAATAAGTTTTACGAATATAAAAATATGATTAATAAAATTTTGGAGAAGAGAGAGATGTAGATGCTTATTTCCTTATCATTTATAGCCAGGGACCAAAGATACTAGTTAAGAGATGATAAATCAAACAATAGAGATATAAGTAAATATAAAAATATTTGAATGTTTAATGAAATGCAAACATAAAAGAAGAATTTAATCAATGAAAATTAGTAATAAGAAGGAAAGAAAAATTAAAAAAGAAGTATAGTGCTACATTATTGCTTACACTAAAGAATCAAAGACATAATCATACACAGAATAAAGAGAAAATGCAGAACTTACTGTGGATGATTCTTTTACAAAACAAGTTCTAATGCAGAAATCATTACATAAACTATGAAGAAAGAACAAGCACAAAATGCTAAAATAACCTCAAAGAACTACCAGAAGGTCCATCCTTCAACAATGTGCCTAAAGAGTAAGTTCTAAAAGTTCTCCTAGGGATAGTATCATTGCAAGACAAAACCCAGTTGACATTAGGCTCTCTATGTGTGTGAATTCATTTATCTTCCCATTCTCTTTCCTAGTGGAAATTAAGAATGGTTGTCTGAGTCTTTCTGCCCAATGAGCAGATGAAAGGGTATCTATTTCCTGGAAAGTATCATGATCTCATTGAACTAAGTAGCTAAAAATAATGAATGCCAGACTATAGAGTTCACTTTGCCATCTCAGAATGAAGAGCAACTGAAAGTCTCTGAAAATAAGAATTAAGTGAAGAAATTAATAATATCAATTTGGAGTTATCAAGGGGGAGAAAGAGATGGAAAAAAAGATGTAGAATTCTTCATTGTCAGAGACGGACCAAACAATCTTTAGAGATTAGAAGTGAAGTGACTTATGTAAGGTGACACAAAGATTTAGAAACAGAATTTCTGTAGGAATCCGTATCTCCTCGGTCTGTAGGGCCATGTTCTCTAGCCAACCAGGCTGATTTTACTGCAGGAGAATACATTGCACTTCATGATTGGTTACTGGTTGGAAGAGGGTCATCAAAGATGATGGCAGGATCCTAGGAACTAGGAGAATCGTGGCACTATTATTGGGAAAAAAATTGCAGTACTGTGGTTTTGAACTCACGGCTTCACACTTGCTGGGCAGGTGTTCTACCACTTGAGTTACTCTGCAGCCCTTTTTTTGGGGGGGGGGTGTGATGGGTATTTTCGAGGTAGGGTCTTATAAATTATTTGCCCCGGCTGGCTTCAAACTGCAATCTCGGCCTCCTAATCTCAGCCTCCCAAGTAGCTAGGATTACAGGTGTGAGCTGCTAGCACCCAGCTGAAAAAATTCTTCTGTTACAGAGAAAGAAGAAATCTTATGCAATTTCTTACAGATTTTTTTTTCTTTATAGGTAATGCAGATCGTGACCAAGCCATATGTATGTATTGGTGTCCTTTATTTCTTGAACTATTTAACTGCTTTATGTGAAATCCAGTTTTCAATTACTTCTTTATTTACAGATTACCCATTTTGGTATCCACGTTGGGAAGTGCCTCGGCCAATTGTGTGTAATCCCATGTGCATGTTTACTTTATTACTGAGAACAGTATGTTTTATACTGTGTGTCATAATTGTTTTGATGGTACAGCCTCAGTTTCCAAATATCTTATTGGAACGACAGATGGTATTTACCCCTGAAGAATCTGAAAGAGAAAAACAAATGAAGGAATGGAAGAAGGAAGAGAAAATGGAGACAGAGGAGGAAAAACAGAAAAGAGAAGAAAAAGAGAAAGAGGAGAAGGAAGGGGAGGAGGAGGAGGAAGAAGAGGAGGGGGAGGAAGAGGAAGAGGAAAATGAAAAGGCAGAGAAAGAGGAAGAAAAAGATTAACCACCAACCAGCCAAGAGTATAATGCAAAAAAATTTTTAAATAGTATACTGAGCTTTAACAAAAAAGAAAGTGTACAAACCACAATTGTAACTCTTTTATTTCCTCTTTTCTATATTTATTCAACAAATTTAAATTTGAAAAACAAAAAATACAAACAGAAAACATGTCTACAAAGAATTAAGACAAGCCCTTATTAGATAAAAATGTAATAACCTGAACAGTAAAAAGAAATTAGACCAATCTAATTACCTTAAGATTTCACTATGGTATCCTGATAAAGGAGATAATTACTATTTTCTAAATATGCTTCCACAGAAAATTTCTGTGCCTTAGATACTTTTACCTGATAAAGAAGAGAATTTCTGTTTCCTAAGTGTTTTTACGGAAAATCTCAGTGCCTTAGATATTTTTACATAAGTTAATAAGTTTTTTAAATATTAAAATGCTTAGAAGCTTAAGGCCTCTACATGTTCATAACAACCATTTATTAAATATTGGCTTATTTTTATTATTACTATCATAATTATTGGTGATGGTGATATTTTCCAAGTGATATACAGATCTCAGATATTATTTATCTTTGTGATGTAAATTTGTGGAATGGTTTAAGTTGTTCCTGTACCTCCTGTTAAGAGAAAAATGTATTATTTCTACTTTGTGTTCAATATTTCATTAAGACTTGCTATAATTTGTTGTCACCAGAACCAATAAATGCCAAAATTTTAATTAGCTGTGATTGAATAGTATGGCTGCTTCCAAATTTATATGATAAAATAAAATACATTTTAAGCTATTTCCTTGTAGCTATTCAACATGCTTAATAACAGTTCACAAATTTATGAACAAAGATAAGATTATTTTCTGCTGGTAATACTAATAAATGAATTGAATAATATTCCCTAAGTTAGTGAAATACATCAAGTGGTATAAATTCTATGCTTATTAACTCCATTCTTCTTTAGTCATATAAATGTTACCATTAAAAACTATTCTGAAATGGGATAAGATGTGAATTCCAAAAAGTCTGAACTCTCCTCTGGTATTTAAGAATTTCTGGGGTTTTATTGTTTGTTTCATTTGCTTTGTCTTTCAAGAGTTCTGCATTTTAGAGACTAATTTTTTTGTTTCAATAAAGTCATCCCTTTTCTACCCAGCATCCTAAGAAAACAGCCTTAGGTAGAGAAATGGGGATGATTCTCTGTAGTGATTTTATTAATTATTATTATTATTATACATTTGTATTCTACTTCATAGCTTCCAAAGTGCCTTCACATAATTAGTTAATACTCAGAACCTCTCATTTTTAAAATGAGAAGTCTGACTGGGATTTGTGAAGTGGTTTAACCTAGGACTAATAGCAAATTAATTTCTGAACATTGTAAGCATAAATTCTTTATGACACCATGTTTAATTCCCACATATGACTTGTTATATATCTGAATGCTAAATTCTAACAGTGTATCCCTAATATTCTGCTTATTCTTCAGGCAATTTCATAGAATATGAAATTCCCCTCCCCAGACCCCATCCTGGCCAGACCTATGACAAACTGGAAACATTTTTGATTGTAATGAGTAGGGAGGTATCTAGTGGTAAAGGCCAGTAATGCTGCTAAACATCCTACAATACACTAAAAATTCACATACAACAAAGAATTATCTGACAGTACTGCCAAAGCTTCATTTTTACCCTGAAGAGATGTAAATTATTTATGCTTTGAATGTGGTGTTGCATTTTCCTTGAGCCTTCCTTTTCTGAAAATTGTTTTTCTGTCCTCCCTCCCATCCCATACCCATTTGGGGACTGTGGGTACAGTCATTTGGTTGTTGTGATCCTGTCTTCCTAGTTCTAGGATTGTCCACTGACCGTAACTGATCCCAATTATAGTCTTTAGTTCAGGATACCAATAGACATTTACGTTTGGTCCTCCTAGGTATCTAAAGTTTTAATATGTAAAATACCAATGCTACTTAATTAGACTTCATGTAGAAAAAAAAAAAGAAAGAATGGAATACAAATAGAAAAGCAGTGGAAGGTTCTTGTCCCTGAGGCCTAGTTTTTAACTTTCCACATGAACTGTTTTGTTTTCCAGACTCTTGACTGTCCACCAAATTTCCCTTTTCCTTTAAGTTATTTTGAGTTGGATTTCTGTAACTGATTCAGGTGACAGAACCTTCTTCTTATATACTTATTTTCATTATTCTGAAATAGCATAAAAAATAATGGCACCGGGAGGGGGGAAAGGGAAGGTGGCCCAAATAATGTATATACATGGAAGGACATAAAAACAATAAAATAAAATTTTAAAAAATAAATAAATGCTCTTAAAAAATCAATTGAAATTCCAGTTTATGGATGTCCTTCATATCACTACATAGTTAGAGGAAAAAAGTGTCCTCTTACATTTTGTTTCCCAAGTCTATGTTCTGGATAGCATCTCTAACTCCCCAAACCCACATACCCTATGTTTCTGGAACCTTAGTTTTGAATTTTTTTTCTTTTCTTTTTTCTTCTTTTTCTTTTTTGGTGCTACCAGGGCTTGAACTCAGGATCTATGCCTTGAGCCACAGCACCAGCCCATTTTGTGTAGGTGTTTTGGGGTATTTTTGAGATAGGGTCTCTTGAACTATTTGCCCAGGCTAGCTTCAAACATGATTCTCCTGATCTCTGCTTCCTGAGTAGGTAGGATTGCAGGTGTGAACCACCAGTGCCTGGCTAATTTTTATTGTTATTATACAAGTGATGGGTTGAGTCTAAGATATTATTAGCATGAAACCAGAGATGTCTAGAAAAATTACCTCTATTCTATTTCTATGGCATCAAGTTCAGGAATGTACTTTTACTGAGGAGTTCTGGCTGAGATAATTTGGAGTGGTGAGTGAACATTTGGTTCATGCCTTAAAGTATTGTATATTCTATTCCGTATTGTAAAACTCTGAGACTGTTAAGATGCTCCTGGTCCTGCAAAGTAATCTCTGGCAAGTGTCTATAGTAGATAATGGACAGGAATGCTCCAGCCTATGACTAGACTTAGAGAAAGATGGATATGCTTCTAGTTCTTCATTTATACTTTCATTTCTATAACCATACATCTGCTGTATCATAACATTCTTTTGTGTCCTTTATATGAGTAAAGCTTTTCTGATGTTCTCAGATGTTTGTGGCTTGTCTACTTACCAATCTATTTGCATAGACTGAAGGCAAATGGAAATGATATAAGGACTCCATATCCAGTATGGATAGATCTCTATGGGGAGAACTCTGGGATAAAAGGGTGACAGAGGTAATATTGTGATACCATGTTAGATTTCTGCTGAACCTTGGCTTAGCTAACTAAGGGTTTAAGAAAGTGTGCCAATAAATACTGATGAAATGTTAGTAATGCAATTTTATCTTTCAGTCTTCCATTTCAATACTCAAGAATCAAATATGTTATTCCTTACAACCACATGCAAATAAAAAGCAGAGGAAGCTAGAGTAGATAAAGAACACTTCAGATTACAGTGCATATCTGACACCCAGAAAGAGAGTGGGCTAGGGAAGGACAGAAGATTCGGTATGAACAGGGTCAGACAGCAAAGCAACTGTGAAGATATCTCAGTCCATACGAGGGGGAGTTGTAACACAAAAATTCCAGCTGAGTTCTTACATGCTGAGATATGTCTTGGTACAAATATTAGTACAGCATCATTCTTAGTCACTGTGTGGGGCCGTATAAGAAACACGTAGCCTTGGTTGAAATGCTGTGACAGATCCCAGAGGTTATGCAGCTGCAGAATGTCAGCTAATTGCATTCCTCATGGCAAGTCCTCTTGAAGGAAAAGCTAAGGGATGTGCATCCATGTGGCCACAGAGGTGAAATCATACACACTTGAATAATTCGCACTTCGTGTAGGTCAAAGTACATGTGTGGCATACCCTAAAAGCGCCTTAAGTTTTTATGGAGGAGATGAAAGAAAAAATAATTGTAATGGAGGTTGGGGGAGAGGGGAGCGCTTTGACTAAAGAACCTGAGATTAAACTCTCCTCCATGAGAAGAATAATTCTTGGAAGATAAGATGAAAATACTGATGAACAAGCAGGCCAGGAAGATCTGAAGCTGTCTGGTGAGGTCATCATATAATAGCCTTAAGATGAGTAACTGCTTTTCTGTACTTCTGAATCCTGGGCTCGATGTACAATATAACCCAGGTGCCAGGGAAGAAAATACTAATATTATTACTTACTAATTTTTTTTGATGGTACTGGATTTTGAACTCAAGCCATCATGCTTGCTAGGCATGTCCTTTACCACTTGAGCCACTCCATCAGCCTGAAAATACTAATATTTAGGAGAAAGAAATATGCAACAATGAGTGAAAGGTGTTGAACATGCAAATCAGTGACAAACTCTGATATGAGGAATATCAGAGCCTATTGTTGGTACAAATGTTATGGGTAGAAGACATATTTGGTGCCACCAAAAGTCAAGGAAAGGATTCCTTAAATGGGAGCCTTGGAGTAATTAAAGATAAATCATGGAAAATTTTTCACAATACAGATTGTGTAGGATACAATAGGAAATTGTACTTCTAGCTAAGGCTGGAGAAATTATTGCACTTTTAGGTCTCACCATCCTTTATTCAGCTACTCACCACCTCCGCTTTGAAATACAGTCACAAGCATTCTAGTACATACCAGCCCAGACTATCAACAAATGAGGGTCTCCAATAACCAATATGAACCTGACCATTATCAGAAAAGCACTTGAATAAGAAACAGGCTGCTTAGCAAAATGCCTGATTAAATGGCAATGATAGATTCAGAAACCTGCAATGGTGAGTTGCATAGGAAGAAACCAGAGGCTGTGACCAAGGGGAAGCCCCTACCCTAGAGCCAAGAGTGTCCCAATAAGATGTTACCTCTAACACTGAAGACTTGGGCTCTTATGTGTGAGTCTCTAAATTAAAAAAAGGAGAACAATGATGGAGCTTGGTTTATTGATGGAAATTCATTAATA